TAGTAGCAATGATAGACAAACCAATTTCCAGATTAGTAAGCATACATACATACATACGTATATATATATACACACACACACACATTAAAAAATTGTTATATATAATGGAAAAATATGAATAATATTAAGTATACCTCATTGTAATCTGGAATATCATCAATGTTTTGATTTGAAAACGGATGTAGTAATCTTCTGGGTTGGCCACAACAGTTTATGTGTTAAGTTGTGTAGTATTAATGGAAGACTTAACATTCAAATCGATATCAACAATGCTACATATAAGAAGGAAAAATGAAGAAGATCAACAATAATAATAATTATTGATTAAGAATAAGTAAAAATAAAACATTAAATAATTATATTATAGTCATCAAATACATAGGCCTTTTTAAATTCTGAAATATGATGCATATCATGATTAATATGCAATCTCGACCCAAATAAACAGTTACCGACTTGTGGCTGACCTATAAATAGCAATTGAAGTAATAGATTATTTCATATTATAAATAAAATATTAATGTAATGAGCATATACATCTAAAAATAATTATTCTTACCACTCCAAGTCTTGAGCTTTGCCATACGTAAGAGGATGATCACAGGAGCATTTTCATTTTGATGTTCAGATATGTAGTTGTTCAACTTCAATTGTTTGGGTTATCTGAATAAAATATTAAACATGATAAATTAATGAAAAATAAAGAAAAGTACCTCAGATCTTGTGCAACAATACTCATTAGCCTTGTTTCCCTTGCATTCTCCCTAATTAATCTCATGGGTTCAGTAGATACAACTTGACCAATAAAATCTACAAAAAGTAAATTTGAATCAATTATTATAATATAAATTGGTTAAAAATATATAATATAATAAATGCAAAAGTGTTAAGGGAAAAAACTCACCAAATGCAACACGAGTGTCAAAATTTATGCCTGTCAGATAATGAAAACTCATAAAATTAAAAGGATTGATCCTATCAACAAAAGGAGTTGATACACGAATTGTGGTTGTTTTGTAGAAATTTATCTTATGCTTGTGAGCAACCAACATGTAATCTCCTTCGTTTCTGGGCATACCAAAGTTAGTGATTTGCCTTACAGCTCCTTCTTCCAGAAGGGCTTGAAATGCATTTATGAGATTTTTTTGATTGTTGCTTGTATTCTAGTGTCCTGTAGGTGATAAAGAATATTATTATATGAAACAAAAATAAAACATAAGTTTTTTTTCATATTATTTTAATCTTACCTCTGGGTCCATTAACATCATGTCCAAGCTGCTGACCATGTTTGGGTTGTTTTTGTATGTCTGCTTCCAAATCATGACAACTTGAACACGAATATTCCATGATTCTTTGGAGGCATCTATGTCAGCCAGTTTATCAATGACGATTTCACTGTCACTGTTATGTGTCATTTCGCTTGTGTTATGAGAAATAGAAAAATATTAGAGATAATTCCGAGATATAGTGAAAAAAGTAATTTAAAGGTTCACAAGGTTTTTGTTTAATGTAAATATGATGTTGTTCAATTAACATAGATATTCTTGGTTGGCATACTTAACTATGAAAAAAACAAAAATAAACATTAATTGTATTTTGCAAAATAATAGTTGGCTGAAATTATGGATTAATGGAAGTAGGATAGTATCAAATCAAAACATACATAGTATGTTGATCTATTTCACAAAAAACAACAAAACAAAAAAAAATGAGTATAATCACTTATCATATAGAAGGCTGTAGAAAGGAAGAAGTATGGATAAACAATGAAATACGTACCTTTTTGCCTTTGATTAACCAAGCTAACAATTGTTTACTGCTATAGAAGGCTCTAGAAAGGAAGAAGTATTGATTTAGTATCGTGAATATCAATATAAACGAAGAGGTAAAAACATAGATAAAACACAATAAAAACCCACCTTTTGTAGGAGCGTGAAAGGAAAAATAAAAATGAGTTTTGGCTGAATATGACATATATATATATATATATATATATATATATATATATATATATATATATATATATATATATATATATTGAATCCAAGTTGGTTTTGGAGGGATAAGATAAAAGTCATTTTTATCCTATCCCTTAAATGTTGAATTTCAAAATGTAGTTAGGATAGATAATGTAGAATATTTTAGGATTATTTTTTAAAATTTAAAATTAGGATAATGTTGATGGTTAGTTAAGTTCCCGTCTTTGGTGGTTGATTTTTCGATTTGAATATGGGAAGTAGTTATGATAGATAGAAATAAATAGTGAATTGTTTTGTTAGGATGACATCACCAAAAATATTAAGAACGATCTAAGGGTTGAAATCAATAAAAAAAATCCAATGAATGGTTCTGATTGTTGAATGTGACATCATTAGGTTTATGCTTTAATATATATAAAGATTTATCAAGGTAAGTAAGACACATTTACCAATTTCAATCTAATATGAAATTCCTAGATTGTTTGAGACTCATTGAATCTTATCAACGACATGTTTAATATCGGATTATGCTCTTTAATTTGTGATTGAGATGATGAGAATCACAAATAAGATTTGAATAACCATGCAAACCCGCTCGACAACCTCGATGTCATTTATCATCTCAGATTGACATGCAGGTAAACCACACACGTTCCATCAACAATGATAATTTTCGAGTTGTTTCATCATTTCAACTTCATACTCCTAAATTAGTGTATCGGTTAACCACACACACTTCACTAACGAGTTATAAAGAAATGATGTGTGTTTTCATGGATTAACATAAATTTCACATTTTTTCTAAAGTAACTAGAGTGAGATTTAAAAGAAGGTTCTAGTACTTTATATCATTATACTTTTAATGAGATTATGTATTATCAAACTCGTTTCGAAAATAACCCTCTACCACACAAAGGGGTGGTGGGTGAAAATGACACGTGTTCAACGGTCATTTTATAAGTCATTTTCTTATATCCCTAAGCATCGTGGCTTCGTGAATGAGGTCTAGTATTGATTCACCTGATTCTTCTTGTACGTATGATATATATATATATATATATATATATATATATATATATATATATATCCCTAAGCATCGTGGCTTCGTGAATAAGGTGTATTTTAAAACTTTTTAAAACACAATGTTTAAATATTAATTATCTAAATTAATCATATAAATAACTAATCAATTTAAACCAAACATGGATTTTATAATTATCACTTAATTAATCTTATAATTAGATTTATTATTAAATCTCTAAGAATAATCAATTTAATTAATTTTATAATTAAACTCATAAGGATAATTCAACTTAATTAATCTTATAATTAAAAAATTATCTATTCCATGATTATCTCCTAATATTAATGTAACACCGTAAATTTTCAAATAAAAAATTCATTTAAAATCGCATTAATCTCATCAGCACAATCACAAAAATCCTCAGTTTATCAAGTTATCAAAAAAAAATCCAAAAGTTGTTTATAACACAATACAGGACCCTCCAAATACAAATCTCCAACTCGTGTGTGTACAATCAAGTCGGTACCTTCCCGTGATCCTGAGAAGTAGCCGAAACACATAACACGGTAAGCACGAAGCTTAGTGAGTTCCCTAAAATACTATATGCACAAATAATAAGCATCTCATTGCTATAAATCGCCATGGACCCTCGAGTCTCATGCTTCTCGGTGAGGACCATCCAGTTTCACGGCTCAGTATGGACCCTCCGGTCCTGTGTCTCAGTGAAGACCCTCCGGTCTCACAACTCGGGTGGATCCTGCGGTCCTAACTCAGTAAAGCTCAAAATAATACACAACATAAATCACAGAGACATAATGCATGATATCACAATACTCAATATAACACATAAGACTCTCTGGTCACACACCACTCTAGGTAAAGAATAACGAGAAGACTCACCTCGAAAGCAAGCAAGCAAATAGACCTCGAACATGAATCTCCGAACTAGCCTCTACCTAACACATAAGATAATTATCTCTAATTAACACTTAAATTGTGACTCTAAATAAACTAAGTTATTTTCTCTCTCAAACTCTTGGGATGGGTAAAAGACCATTTTACCCCTCCATGGTCCACATAATCCTTGCCTTGACCAAACCCTAAAGTCATCAGAAGTCAACACTCGAGTCAACCTTCCATGCTGACCTGACTCGCCGAGTGCTCCTACGTGACTCTCTAAGTCCCTGTTATTCCTCAGAACATCGCGAAAACCCAACTTAACTCGTCGAGTTGTCTCATAAACTCGCCGAGTTACCCGTGTATAAAATCATCGGGGGAAACCCTAGCCGATTCGTTGAGTCGGCTCATTGACTCGTCGAGTCCCTTAAGTAAGTTTTCTCATTCAGACGTTTTAAGGCAAAAACACTACCCCAAACTCTAGATCTAGCCTCCCAAGGCTGAGATACTACGTAAAGCTGCAAGCATTACGTCCATGCAGGTCTAGAAGGCTAAACTCATCAAAACAAGGCTTTACAAGGACATTAGCTCATGTAGGTTTTCCTAAGCTTGATAAAGCTTGTGCCTCTCGGTCCAAGGGACCTCCTACTATCTAGATTCGAAGTCTCATCTCCATATCATGCTCACAATCATAAATGACTCAAAAAGAAGCTAGAAAAGCCATAAACTTATCAATAAGGGGATCTAATGTTAGAATGATCAAGGTAACAACTTGTTACCTGAAATAGGATGCCAAAATGAAGTAGATAACAGATCCTCAGCCTCCCTGTTGTTCCAAGCTCATGGATCCTCAATCCTCTTCAAGAATCCAACTAAAATAAGCACCTTAAGCCTCATACACACTCAAGATAGGATTTAGCTCACTATGGTTTGTTCTCTAGATGTGGAGAGTGATGAGGGAGGCGGGGTGGAGGCTTAGAGTCCTTTAAATAGGGTGCAAAACCCAAATAGTTAG